TTTGCCAGGAGCATCGGGAGATGCAGGTCAGATTGATTGACGATATTGAGATGAAGACCGTCAGTGAACCGCCACCTATTCAGTCAATGGAGGGGCCAACATCTCCAGCGCGCTCGCCGAGAGCGGCAGAATGATTCCGACCGTGATAAGTACTGTAAGTTGGGTCAAGAACGGGTTCAKTCAGCTGTCAGTAATWTCGGATAATTTTGGAAAATCACTTTTTGCCATTTTCGGCATTACACGCAGGCTGTGCTCCGGGGCGCTTGTTCCGCAAATGAWCCGACTCCGGAGTCGTGTTTGGTTCCACAGATCCGCYAACTCCGGGGCCGTTTGTTCATTGTTTTGGCGTTTCTYGTGATTTTGCGACGAGTAGTTGTCCGCTCCGTGGTCAAGGTTATGCCCTGTCGTGGATTGGCGACTGGGTGGAGGGGTCTGGTGTGGTGTGCATTGCGCACACACTTTTTCTGTGAATTCGCCGGCGGAGAGTACGGRCCTGGGTTGTTGTATTTGGTGGGTGGTGTGCGCWCATGATCAGCCAAGCATAGAAGTCTAGTAAGCCCAGCCTCGACTTTTTTGCACTAATCTGGTTGCGATTGCGGTCTGTTACATCCGCAGATAATAATTGTATTGTGAGGATCGTATAACTCATCTGCGGGGCGTTGGCGATACCTCGTCCGCTGAGGGCTTTCGAGGAGTGGTTGGGTTCTTCGTTTCCAGGTAAACAATCGCTTCTCTCTTTCCCTTCATCGCTTATGCTTGGGTTAGACACTCGGCATGGATACGCGCATATGCTGGAGATGCCACGGATGCAGGGATCGGCAATGTCACGTTGTGTCCATCTGTCTTTTGTTCCAAAGGTCAGGTTTCAATACAGAGGGTTGGGGAGTGCGCCTGACGTGATGCCCTTCCCAATGTTGCAGGTTTTGTGCTGTGATAGCTGAGACTGTGAAGGAAGTTAATCAGAAGTTCAATCTTAGAGAGTGCTTCGCACGACTTCACTGTGGCTGGCGGCTTACCGAGGAAGCCACCCCAGAAAGAAAGAGCAAGCTGGAAACAGCTTGACATTGCACAAGGCCTGGGCTACACACACACACACACACAC